CTATTCACGACGTCAATTTGTCGCCATGAAGCCCAGCATCGAACAGACCTTTGTCTCATTATCAGAAATATCACATGTCACCATTTTCTTTCCTCCTCCTCCTCCACTTCTTCTTCTTCTTCGTTCTTCTTCTCTTCTCTTCTCTTCTTCTTCTTCTCTTTCTTCTTCTTCTTCTTCTTCTTCTCTTCTTCTTCTCTTCTATTTCCTCATCATCATCCCTATCCTCATCTCTTTTTCATCCTCCTCATCCTCCATCCTCACTCACTTCTCTTCTCTTCTTCTCTATTCTTCTTTTCTTTTCTTTTCTTTTCTTCTTTCTTCTTCTTCTTTTCTTCTTCTTCTTCTTCTTTTCTTCTTCTCTTCTCTTCTTTTTCTTCTTTTCTTCTTCTTCTTCTTCTTCCTCCTCCTTCTCTTTTCTTTTTTTTCCATTATTTTTTTTCTTCTCCCCCATCCTTCTCCCCTCCAACTTTCCCCCCCTCCCCCTCATCTCCCCCTCCACATCCCCCCTCCCATTCCCCCCTCTCCCCCTCCCCTCCCATCCTCCCCCTCCCCTCGCGGATCGTCTTTCAAGCAGAGAGAACCAAGCACGGTGTAGCGGTGTGACTCCAACTTATTTTCCTTCCTGCAGCGCCTTCTGGAATTCTCTTATCGGTTACACTCAGACGCGGCTTCTATTCTTGCTTTGTTTCTCTCTCGCTTTCTCGTTTTCTCCCTCTCCCCTTCTCTCTTCCTTTTTATTTCTAACTCTTCCTTTCTCCCCCTTTCTCCTTCGCAATCTCTCCCCCTCCCACTCTCTCCTTCTCCCTCTCTCCCTCTTTCTCTCCCACTCCCTCTCTCCCTCTTCCTCTTCTCTCCCCCTCTCCCTCTCCCTCTTCTCTCCCTCTACTTCTCTTCCCATCTACCTCTCTACCCTCTTCCTCTCTCCCACTCCTCCCTCTCTATTTCTTCTTCTTCTTCCTCTTCTTCTTCTTCTTCTTCTTCTCTTCTTTTTCTTCTTCTTCTTCTCTTCTCTCCTCCTCCTTCTCCTTCCTCCTTCCTTCTTCTCTTCTTCTTCTTCTTCTTCTTCTTCTTCTTCTTCTTCTTTTCTTCTTCTTCCTTCTCTTTCTTCTTCTTCTTCTTCTTCTTCTTCTCTTCTTCTTCTTCTTCTTCTTCTTCTCTTCTTCTTCTTCTTCTTCTTCTTTCTTCTTCTTCTTTCTCCTTCTCCTTCTCCTTCTCCTTCTCCTTCTCCTTCTCCTCCTTCTCCTTCTCCTTCTCCTTCTCCTTCTCCTTCTCCTTCTTATTATTATTATTTATTATTATTATTATTATTATTATTATTATTATTTATTATTATTATATTATTATTTCCTCTTCTTCTTAAGCACCACGCTATAGGGGGCTGGTTTAAGAGGCGGAGTCCGGGTCGAGTACGATTTGCAATTTTCCAATTTCAAAATCTAGAATAATGGCAATACGTGGCTCTAAAATTCAAAGCCAATAATAGATGTGATAGATAATGCTATGTCAAGGTGACCGGCTCTCTATCTATCGAAACAAATAGACAGACACACACGCATACACACGCATACAAATAAACAGACTAACAGGCAATGACAAAGAGAGAAAAAACGTATTTGGAGACAGACAGACAAACAGATGAATTGTATTAAAACGCACGATGAAAAAATCAGAAATAAGTGATAGATGTATAGCTAGAGACATAGACGTCTAATCTAATAAAAGGCTGATATATTATTTGATTAAATGACAGACATATAAGAGATATATAAATCAACATACATATTGAAAGTACAAAGCTACGTCAATATTCTTTCCACCTGTGATTTTTTTTTTTTAATTCTTCCTTCTTTTGTTCTTTCTTTCTTTTTTCTTTTCTTTTTCTTCAGAAGTTTAGTCAGTCCATTCCGCATTTGCATACAACACGGCGAAAACTTGCCAATTGAGACTCCCGCTCTATCAAAGCCATTACGAATTTGGCCTGAAGTCCGTGCATGGATTCGAACACGGAATTTTCATGCACCCGGCACTGACTTCGTCTTCGTAATTTCATCCTGAAGCGGTTTCTGAATCGATCACTCCCCCCTTCCCCCCCTTCAACCCCAACCCACCTAACCCTTAAACTATCCACCCCTTACTACCCCCCCCCCCGTCGTCCTACCCCGCCCCCCCTGCTTCCAGACCCTTCCAAAGCGACGCCACATCCGAACCCGCACCTGCAACCTTGCCAGCGAGACCTTCCTTATAAGGGCAACGCCGGAGCGAGACTGAGGAACAAGCTGATAAACCTTGTGATTTTATTGCCGAAATCAAGGAGCGAGATAAGCCCGTTCTTGCATCTGTGTGGGTGTAATGGTTGTATATATCGAGGTTTACACGCGCACACATGCCTACGCACACGCACACACATATACACCTACGCACATGCACCTATGCACACGCACATACACAGGCACACCTACACACGCGCATATACCTACGCACACGCTTTCACCTGAGCACA